AACGCATTCTGAAGCGAGCCATCCTAGATCACCTTACTTCCAGCAATCTGATATCTCCAGCTCAACACGGATTTCTCCCAAACCGTTCCTGCGTGACAAACATGCTCGTGTTTATGGACAGCTTATCCCAAACCAGACACAAGGGACTCATCGGATGCCATATTTTTCGACCTGTCAAAAGCATTTGATAGGGTCTCACACGTCCCGCTGCTCCACAAACTCGAGTCTCACGGGATTCAGTGGAATTCCTTTGCTAAATCAAGGCGTTCCTATCAGACAGATCATTCCGTGTGAGAATAGGCTCGACCTATTCCTCTCCAGCACCGGTCTCCTTTGGAGTTCCTCAAGGCTCCGTCTTGGGACCACTCCTGTTTCTGATCTACGTCAACGACCTCCCAGACGTTCTTGCGAGCCAACGTTTACTTCTTGCGGACGACTTGAAATCCTGGAGTTCCAATGCCAGTACCCTCCAAATAGATGTAGACGCCGCCAAGCAGTGGTCGTTGGACTGGCACCTTCCTCTGAATGATGAAAAGTGCGTCCATGTGTCGTTTGGAGGGGATTCAGCGAATGCCTTTGTTATGCATGGTGAAAAGGGACCAGAAAACATCAAGAGGATGGATGCTAAAAAAGATTTGGGCATCTCTGTCTCTTCAGACTTGTCCTTCTCATTACACCATGAGAAATCGGCCCAAAAGGCATTCGCCATTTTACGGATGATCCGACGCACCCTCTCCCGTATTACTCACATGGACGCCCATACACTATATGGGGCCTACGTCAGACCACTCCTGGAATACGCCAACCAAGTTGTCTACTCAGGACGTACGAAGGACGACACCCTCATTGAGCGCGTCCAGCGAGCCGCCACGAAACTGATTGCCGGCCTCAAATCCGTGGACTACGAAACTCGTCTCGCGATGCTTGATATCATTCCTACGGAGTACAGCCGCTTTCGAGGAGACCTAATTCTTACTTACGCCCTGTTTGAACAAAGCTTGGCAAACAGGTTTTTTACCGTTGACCCAGCAAACACCCGGCGAGGACATAGTAAGAAAATTTTCAAACTCATGGCACACACATTCATTAGACAAAACTTTTTTTCATTTCGGGTAGTAGCTGCGTGGAATGACCTTCCTCCGATGGTCGTACACGCTCCTTCTCGAACCCAATTTAAAGCACTATTAGACATTTATTTATGCGAATCATCGCGCTGGCAAACTTACTGCCCCGCGCTGAGAACATAAAGAGCAGTGCTACACCCTTTTTCACTTGTGCCTTTCAGGTGAACGTCAGCCGCTGACCGAATAGAAAAAGCCGACCCGGAAAACTTGGTCAAAAGTCTCGATGCTGTGTATCAATCCGTGAATCCGTGAATCCATTGGTATGGTCCTTACAATTTGGAGACAAACCTATTATTATATCTTCCAATTTGCCAATCTTCGTTGATGAGAAGGAGCACAGCTTTGCACGTATTATACACACGATTACGCAAGTTCAGCGGCGACAGGTTAGCTGTGTGCTATATCATCACCACCGGCCTAAGGTCAGGCAGCCGGCGACCCAGAATGTTCCGACATTACCTTTTTTACTGCTTAATTACACATCAGGAATCCCGTTACTTTCACGCCGTCGATACCAGTAGGAAGTGACGACTGCTTCCTTTGGTTTTTAGTACTGGCACGCGAAGTGTAAGCTGCGCAGATTACTTTCGGATTCTAGCCTACACTTCAATATGCTAAACACGTTTCACCCAATCGGCCTACTCTTATCGACATTTAATAGGGTTGAACTGAAGTCACAAGTATGCAGCGATTAAGTTCATCAAAAATAGAACTACGCGGGAAATGCAGAAAATGACGTAATGTCGCTCGCCTTTTTCAAAAAAGCGTTTGGCATAAGGAAACTTGGTGATGGCAAAGAATTCGACGAGTTCCTGAAGCATTTCGAAAGACCAGATGTTCCAAACTACAGGTATGCAGCTTATGTGGTCTTCCTAATTTATAGTCGGATCGCACGGAGTTTCAAACGCAAGGCTGTCCGGTTTATAGTCGTTGGATATGAAGGGCGTAAAATCTTCTTTGACTCCCTGTCCTATAAGGTGGGTTTATAGTTCAAAACTTGCATTTTACGAGCACATTGCTGTCCCGGGAATCGTCCTCGTTTGGGTGGCCGCCTTTCGGCTGCATGACGCCTAGGTATGAAGGTATGACGACTGATTAGTCCCACATTGTAACCCTTGACTTCTTTATCGTGACGTCCTGCCCACAGACGGTACCCGACGCAGTTCCTAGGATAGCCTACGTTCAGTCTCCGAAGCGGTTTCGGCGGTTGGTTTTAGACGAGCAATTTCTGCATTTGAGTTGCCTCGCGTCGATTTATCACGAGAAGCTCCTTCAGTTCGAATGCTCGAGTGGCGAGTACTATTTGTAAGCTATGAAAAAAATGTCTTTCCCCCCACATATCGTAATCCTGTCATTGCCATCGGAGGAAAAATATCTTAGGGTGGAGTGCGGATTCAGTACCCCTGATACAGGTGTTCCAGCAACACTACTCAAGTCATAGTACGTTTAAAAAACGAATGGAGGTAGCCCGATGTTCACGGATTCCATCAATCAGATACTCACATGGGAGTACCCCCTCCCCCCTCCCCCGGATTCAAGCTACAGGACAAATTTACCCGATGCGTACCAAGACTATAAATCTCGGTTGGGTGAAACGCCGATGAATTTCGTTTGGTAGCGAACAACGGGAGCCAAACAACCTCTGCTTCAACGCATGCGTTCGAGATAGCTCAATCGTGAGGGTGCCAGTTTACGAATCGGAAGGTCCGGGATTCGAAACCAGCCTCAGCATCTTGGCTGCATATGTCTACACTTGGGCACCCTGGAATCACCCAAGCGCCCGTCCATTTTTCAGTTGGCATAGCAGCACAGTACGTTTGCTACATCTGAACGATTATATTATATATCATTATGCGTCATCGCTTGACGTACGCTGGCAACGAACAAAGCAGCACCTGCTCCCAGAGTTCACCGGAGTACTCTCCCGGAACAAGAGATGGGTTGAATCCGAAATGTTCATAATCAGCACTATCCAGGAAGTTTGACTTTTCTCACAAAAGGATGTATCGATGATTTGTGGGCCGAAATCTATCTTCGGGACCGTAAATAGGGATCATTCCGTTTGCTTCGGCAAACCAGCTTCAGGAAAACTATGACGACGTGCGAGTTTACTTGGATCGCAGAGTTTAATTAGGCAATTCAAGGCGAAAGGTCTTGGTTCATCACCACTGGCCAGACCTCAAATAAAATTTTCGGGTCTGTCGGGGAGTGTGATTAGTTGCAAAACCTGTGCACGGTTTTGTTGCTTTAGAAATACTTCGTATGCATGTGAGTATTAAATTAGGCCGGACCGACTCATCGGTGGAATGTCAGGGAATTCAATGCTCAAAGGCAAGAGCAGACTTATAAAATAAATCTTTCAGCTGTAGCACCCTTTCGGCACCCAACTCCTATGCCGATCGCAGGAAGCATCAGGGCTGGGATACTGCCACGTTGCCCAAACGTAGACGGGAAATCGAGAGGCAAAGGCAAAGGTCGGGTTCGAACCAAAAACCTTCCGGTCAGCGAATTCGCGTTCTAATTACTAGGCCATCTCAGAGCAGGCTTAATATGAACCAAATACGGGTCCGTGGACAAGCAGGGCATTCTGTGGGCCAAAACGCGCTAATTCTTTCGGAGAAGCGATTTTGTAGTTCAGAGTCTAAGGAATGCGACGAATTGTGAGGGGCCCAGTTGGCCCTTTAGTAAAAATAGGAGCTCGAGATGGCTCAGTAGCTAAAGCGCGAATTTGCTGACGGAAAAGTCCGTGGTTCGAACCTAACCTCTGCATCTCGGCTTTTCTTATCAAGACTTGGGCAACCTGGTAGTATCTCAGCCCTCGAAAATCGGGCGGGTTTGTAGCTGGGCAAGACAAATGCACGACTCAAAGCAGTTGCTTTCCATGACTCAGTGCTCCAGTGTAGTCACAGAAGACGTGAATTCATCTACTAATTTAGCCTGCTATTAAGAAGGGGTCTTGCTAATTGATTCTCCTATCTTAAAATTTTGTCAGCCTTTAAACCTAGTCACTTGACCTGACAAAGCGTTTTCGTTAGGAGCAAAACGTCCGGCGATTAATACACTGACCGTTTTCCAAGCTCTCGATCTGTTCTAAGGGTCCTCTATGTAGAGTAGCATTAGACGACTCAAGGGTTGAAGCCTTCGCAGCTTCTTTGTCCTATTGCATCAATGTCCGCACGCTGAAACCACTAGTTCGTACGTGATGTGGCAACCCAGAATTACATTTCCATTTGGATGCGATATGGGCGGCAGCATGTGACAGTTCTGGGTCCTATCCCGATCGCGAGGCATCATGCTGATTGCTCGATACATTAGTGGCTGGGAATAATAAAGGGGTGTACTTTGAAATGTACAAAACCAATTCAGGAATTAATGAGGCAATTTCTTCATGGCATAAAAGTTGTCCATTTTGTGCTGATCTTAAGTGAATGTGTGTTTATTTGAATCTGCTTTCAGATAGCCTCCAGTTTCATTTACTCATTAGTAAGGTTTATTGCATTACCATATCTTACTCTCTTAGTTTTATTTTTGACGTCCTCTACATTGCGAGCCTCATGGACTTCGGTGTTTCACGTTACACGGTGGCAGAGAGGACCTCCCCACCCGCCTCATTGAACAAATACTTTGGATAGCTTATTTTATAGCTGTGGTAATTAGTTCGTGTTATGGTTTTTGTTGGAATGACTTGTATCTGCTGCGTATCACGTGGTAACGTCAGATCAATGTTACACAACCCAGACTGGTCAGAAGTGATTCATGTGGTTGTCGTATTTAGAGCGTATACATAATGTTATCGCGAATGCCTGCTACTATGTACTCGGTCCCTAGTCTGACAACACTGATGTTTCGAAGGCTGGGAAGTCGAACTAATGTGAAAGCAATGGGAAAGTTAAGCAATAGTCTGTTTACCCTTGTATTCCTGTACTGATATTTTTCCGCTATGCCCCCAGTCTTTCTCAGACGATCACCGCACCTTTCTTATTGGAGTCATACTTCCCAACCTTCGATTCCTATTCTTGTGTTGTCTGCGTTGGAGATCTTGTTAATGATCTTCCGGCTCTGAATTGTGATAGGGTTTTCAAGGTGAACTATCAATGACCATGGTGAGGCACAACGCTGCTATCACTCAGATGTTTGATCGTGGTGTCTTTTACTTTACGCTAGTGTATAAAACGGTAGGTATTACTTTCAAGCATCCCAACCATTAGGTAACGTCGGTAGCTGCTACACCGTGTAAATCGATATCAAGACCGTCGGGATTGAAGCAGGTCGAAAGCGGCGTTTTTAGTCAGTGAACGTATTTGTCAGTAAAGAAGTGATTTCACCCTACCAGTCTATCATTTTGCCGTGGCACCTCACCATCCTCTTGGTTTCTATCGTTTGAACCCAGGACACCCCACGAGCTCTTCCTGTGTTTTTTGCTGGATCTCAACAAATCAGCCTCACCGATTATTTGTTTGGATCTTACTCGCTAACTACAAGCAGGGACTTGCTCTATTCTATCAAAGTCCACGACTTCAGGTGAGTTCAACGATTTATCTAAATCTGCTTGCTTATTTAGTTCCTCTGGACAGCTGCTGATCACCCGTTTCTTGAATGATCTTGACGACTGGTAATTTTCTATTTCGTCGATGAGATTGTTGTTCCAGGCGCTGTGCTCAAACATCTGGCAGAAGGTACTTGGGAGGCAAGAGACAATGTTCATCTTCAGTACCTCAAATGGTAAGCTATGAAATAGTAGCAATCTGACGTCTTCAGCCTGCTAGGTCGGAACCGTCGTTACACAATAGTGTAGCAGCCTGCCTGTTGATTAATATCGAGCAAGTAATCAACCATTCCTCTGGAGTGCTGACCAACAAGCCCGGAGTGGGTGCACCCGCAACATCTGGTCGTCGCGGTGGATCTCATTCTGTCACAGACGAAAAGCAATCTCCTATTGGTAGTCCGCTGACTGCAGGTCAGAAATATATGGAAGCATCCCCCAGACGTTTTTATCGTGCACTTTTCGAACACTGTGCGTCTTTGAGCGTTTTGATTGAAACTTTGGTTTCGGAAGCCTTCACCGCGATCTCGAAAGTTACAAGAAGCAGCTGGGGACCAGGTGGCTTCCTTACGGAAATTGAGTGCTGTGATATCATTTCCTCTGCGTATGCAATGTTCCTCAGTTCGTTTCTTGACTTTTGCGTCCCTCGTCTACATTTTCCTGTCTGGTCTTCACTCAACAACGCTTTGACAATAGCTTCTGAAGGATCATGCTTCTCAGCGGATGAGGTTCGGAGCATGCATGTCACTTCGTGGTTGAATATGACTCTTGATTCCTCAACATTTCCAATTGCTTGCTGCACAACGGAGCGTACAACTCACGATACACTTGTCAGTTTGTTTGTCCGCGGATGCTTCAACCCCCTTGTTAGTCGCGGAGGTGACGAACATCGTTAGTAAGTCTTATCTATCTTTTTTTATGAGACTTGGTCTCAGGCCGTAGCTTGTTCACTCAGTCGACTACTGTCATTTGCATGTACTGTAGATTTTCAAGCATAAGCACCGTACAGGACCGTGTGGTCAGTGGTTGGAGCGCTAATTTACTAACCGGAAGGTCCGTGGTTCAAACCCGACCTCTGCTTCTCGAATTCCCCTGTCTAGGCTTGAGCAACCTAGCAATATCCCAGCCTTCTTGCTTTCTTCTGGTGGCATGGCAGTTAGGCACTGAAAGGATGGTACAGCTGGACGATTTTGTGTGGCGTTCTGACATAAACACCAGTGTTCAGTACTGGTGTATTGGCACTATGCTGTCCATGGACAGTCTAGTCGTGGCATCTCGACTGCTTTTGTTTGGGTTCGAACAACCTGATGTTGTTTAAAGCTCCATGATGCCAACTGGTTGCGCGGGTAGTCTACCGTCTTGTGGTAATGCGAAAAATTTAATTTTGTCGCCCTAGTAAATCTCGTGCTTATCCTTACGTACATTTCGCATGACTACAGTGACCTTCGACAGCACCTGTTTCCGCTGAACGGTGTTTTTATCATTCTAACACGACAACACCTGAGTGTCGGACGTCTCAAAAACATCTGTAAGCATTGCTACTATATAGGGTGGGCCGGTACCGTTCGCGGAAGTTGGTTTGAACCAGCTGTTGACCTTCCATACGGTCACGCTACTACAAGTGAATTTTTACCTGAAAGGTCATCTACCCTCGCTGAAAACCTGGTAGCCACCAATCCAGGAGCTTAGATTTAACCTAATGTTTTGATAAATATCTGGTGAGATCCTGAAACCTCAGCAACATAAGTCCTAATTGGAACGTATCAGTTGGTGACACGGGGACCGGACACCGAACCATTTGATTGACAGTTTCAGGCTCCTTCCTGCTGCCCCCACTTCCGCTGACTGATCTCCTCAGCTGGTGACTTTCATTTTAGTTCAAGCCAACAGGTGATTTGTTCTGACAACCCCCTGGTCATCAATGCTTAGTAGGAATGTTTTGTCTGAAGTCATCGTGGGTCACTCATGGTTAATCCAGTGGAGTCTTCCAATATGTATCGTTCAAGTAGTTTCTGTCACAATGTCGCTCCCCTTGAAACTGTGTAGGTGCTATTGTTAATTTACCTGGTCAGTTTCACTCATTCTTGAGGGGTTTGCACCATTCTTAACATATCACTTTGTGAAAGATAATCAGTAGATCCGGTTTAGAGCCTTGCGCAACCGGCCTGCTAGATAGCTAGGAATGGCTCTTTGGGGGGTAAGCAGTCGATCGTCCATCACTATTCCGCTAGTGCTATCCAGACGCCGGAATTTTCGTAAACATATGATTGTATCATGGACCATGTTTTGCAATAGTAATGACGTGAAACTAAAGCCGAAGCACTTTTAGGTAGCATGTGGTGTGTAGCTCGTGATTATAGCCCTGGCCCTTGAAGCTGTAGAGCGAGGTACTCGCGAATCGTATGCTCTGTCGTGCATAATCTAGAAAGAGCGTTTACCTTTGATGTGTATTTGACACAGGGCTGATCGTAGCAACCGAGTAATTTGAGCTTCTACCTGGCCACTCATTCCTGAGGGCAGCATAACGCTCGCAGGCAAGACTGCTAACTACTCTGACTCTATCACTCATACCTCATACGCAATGTATTCATCCACTGAGGTGTGGTGGTGTTCTACATGTGTAGGATCATTTTTGACAGGGTTTGGAAATTCGATTACCAGTCCCCTCACACTGATCAACAGGAACATGGTTCTACACTTGTCAACGTTACGGAATGCATAGAGAAGTCGCTTTTAGACGATTTGGAAGTTATTTATTACACTTAGTGTGTTAGGAGAACCATATTTGGATTGTTCTTTTATAAGTGACTACTTTATTCGGCGCAACTCGTAATTCCGCACCAGTCCTTTCTCACTCAGATAGGGTTAGTTTTTGTGAGGAACGTTAATTGTGATGCAGGTTAGAATATATACGAAATGACCGTGCCACTCGTACCGAACCAAACGATACGCTTGCGAACACGCAAACTGGTTAGATCAATACAACAAGTCTAAGTAATGGTAGCTTCTCATCGTGAGCCCTTTTACGACCTGATCCCGTATACTGGCATTTGTATGTTCGTATTTTTGAAGTCATTATTTTAAGTCATTTATCGCCATGAAAACATCCATCCAACATGACAAATGCGTGCGCTATAGAAGTCGACGTTTGGTTCCTCTCAGTTGACTAATCCTTTGCCCGGTTTTTCCTTTTACTTCAGCTTCCTTGGACAGTTAATCACTGGAGTTCTCATGCTTCACCCTGGCTGGGTCGCCAGTTTGATATCATCTTGTCCACCAGATTCCGTACGTGATTTTGTTCAGTTTTATTACCTGGTACCTCGCTTCACATCTAGCATTCTTCGGCCAAATCTATCAGTGACATAGCGCTCTGATTCTGCTTGAACTTGCTTGCGAGTAAAAAGGAATAGGGGGCTGTTACTATGCCCTCACGTGTACCATTCTGACCCACCGCACTGTCTCATCTGGAATTAGGTAGCCTGCCGAATATTGCTTGGTGAACAATGTCCAGTTTAGATTTATATTCCTCATGAGGGCACAGTACCCGAGTTCATCTGGGCGCGTACTAGTATACAGCAGGCTTTCACCACCATATCCAGTGATGTAAGACAAGGCTACCCTCAGCTTTGTTGCTCGGTTGCTTGGAACTTCTCTGCATGTCTGTGGGACCTCGGGACTCGAGATGCTGTCGGGACGTTCGCTGACAGACACTGAGTATGCGAACGTGATTGTTTTCTTTGTTTCGGATATTTTAAGGATGCCGCACTATATGGCATGCGCTTCTATAAGGCCACGCTGCTATAAGGCTGGGTGCAATCAAACCCAAACCTCACACTTTCAGACCAGCCAGTTGATGTGATAAATTTGTTTACTTGGTCACTTGTGAAGGTTCTGGTAGACTGGCGGAAGACGAGACCGAAGACCAGGACGGTTTTCGCCAATCTTCGACACTTATGGGACAGCCATGTCATTTTGTCTGTGAAAGGGGATTATACACTACGTTGATCCGATGTATACTGCTGTATGGATGGGGACCCCCATGATTCAACTCATCATTGGTTAGTGGCACGCAATCAATGAAATTCGTGCGTCAAAGCTATCGCACTCAATGCGCAGCTGCTCAGATTCTTGAACCAACCGCCTCCAGTGCTTGGGTATATCTCACGCTTTCAGTTTCCTCTAACGGAAACTAACAGTTGGAACCAATGTGCCCTTAACACGTGGCTTATGACTGGGAAACTGAACTGAACTGTACGGCAGTGAAGCATCAGTGCCAACACTGATGTTGCTGTCTTTGATGATGATGATGACTGGTTGCTATGTCTAACGTTAGCGCGCCAACAAGACCTGTCACTTAATAAATGTGTAAGGAAGGAGCAGAGTGACATACAAGAACCCTTTGGTCCGCGTTGGCGGAGAATATGTAGACTTTGACGACAATATGATCGTGGTTGCACCTACCGGCTGACATTGACACAAAATTAGGTGGAATACGTCAATCTGGCTAAGCTTTTCAAGGACCGAGATGTTTTTCATGTCCGGATTTTTGCATCCAATGCGAGTGGCGATGATTCGTGACCGACTGCGATTATTTTTACCCCCTCTTTTAGGATTATTGTTATCCCCTTTACTTTCACTTATTTACCCAGGCACCTTTCCCCCCATTGCATTCTTCTGGCCGCGTTTCTCTGCCAAATCATATACTGGGCCAAATGCTGACCCAAGTCGGGTGTACTGACATCAATTTGGAATATCTGGGTGGAAGTGTATTCAACTGTACCGTCCTTAGTGGACAGTCAAGGAAATACTTGTTGGCTTTGCTTTATTTCGTCACCTATTTTCTACGATTCACCTGTATAATGTCCCTTGCCAGACCTGGTAAGATCGGATCTGTTTGAGCTGGAGCAACAGCGAAGACAGGTGGGCACTTTTTATATTTTTCTAGAGTTTGTTGATAATATCTCCGTCCAAGCGGAAGTAGGAGTTGGCATTTTGTCGAAATATCCGTAACCCCGGTGCAGTCATTGTTGTGTGCTCGCTGGCTGGGGCTGTCAGCTGTATTGCAAACATTTCTCCACCAGTCCAGCCGACACCATCAATCACATTGAAGATGTTTTATCGGTTGTTAAAACACCTCAGGACAATTTTCAGGATCAACAACTATTAAGTACACTCGAACTGCTAACTTTTGTAAACCTCTTGTGTCCATCGAACGCCTCCGTTTTAGTAGCCAATCCCCAATAAAATTCTAAGCTCAAAGAGGTTAAATCGAAACACATGCATCAGTACGACCGAGGTGCAAAACGTCCCACGGTTACGATGTTCATTGTGACTTGCTTGCGACTTTCGGTCCAGCTAACGACCATCTACTGCGTTCAATCAACACAGGGGAATACCCGATGCTCCAGTCTATCGTAGCGTTATTGTAGTGTTGAACTTCCCTCGAACGGTGAAGCAACATTTACATATCAGGGGTTTGACGAACATCTATTGTCTGTACATCATTAACGCTTCTGGGAACTTTTCCTACCATGTATCTTGTGGCACCATCCAGAATAGTTTTTCATCGTGCTGGGAAGGGACTATCCCGAAAAGGTTTTATGTACTCGTATTTCATTGGTTTGCGTACCTCAGTAACACACTGGGCTGTTTTAGAGAGTGCCCATACATCACTCACATTCTTTTCTGGTTTTCTTTGCTGGATATTTTGTGTCCGATATCACCATGAAATATGCACTTCAATGTTCTAGGACCCTGGTATTGGAATTACATGTAAGTTAAGATTGACAGGTGTTGGCTATGCGATTGACACTGTCATTTGACGACTATTAGCCCACTCTAACTTTGCAAACCTGTATTGCTGATGGCGTCAGAAACGAATTTCACCGAAACTGAGCGAATATGAGTACAAGGTAGTTGCAACAACAGAAATCTGCGGTTGTGTAACTTGGCTGCTGAGATCCGGAACTTGAGAAATCTCCAAGATTTGACCATCGGTGCCTTGATAATATAGCAGGCTTTGGTTGGCTGTAACGTGTTCCCAACGAAGTGATGTGTAAACAAGTGCTTGGTGATGGGTCAGAATCGCTGGAGCAGTGAGTAGAGTTCATCGGTGGTGGTTGAGACTTATACTGCATCTACCCAGCAACCATCTATCAACGAAACATTTCTATTACGAACTGTTGCTGATGGACCCGAGGAGGACAGGCGAAAAGAGAGTAGCCATTGTGAAACCACGTTATTTGATCTCAGGTTGGGTTCCATTTGATTTTCTCTACATATGGTTAAAAATCTTACGGAAAGTGGCTTGCAACCGATCCCAGTGGCGAGTGTACCGTCACCTATTAGTTGTGCCCAGCCAGAGTTTCTCTGTTTATGGTGGGTCCACGTTAAGCGAGGTTCGCAAAGGATGTTGGGTGAATCCCACTGATATCTCCTATGTGATACCCAGATGCGCTTGTCCTATTGCTGTCCCAAGACGTGGACGCCTTGTTCTCCGTCGTTCCCCATAGGATTCACTGCGCTTCCTTTTTTCCACTGTTAACTAGTGCATCCTCCCCTATAGTCCTACGACAGTTGGGTATAATTATTTGCTGACGATCTGCTTCTGTTGATGGTTATGGTGATCTCGTAGGAAAACATGAGTCACAGGACCTCTCTACAATGATCAGGAACTCCTATTCTGAGATCAAATTTACAATTGCCCACCTTTTTCATCGTAGTGATGTGGTCGAATGATGGAACTACGTTACTGGTATACGGCTACACCAGGGTACTGACGCTTAAATGGTTGATAGATGCATGGGAGAAGCCCCTTCACAGGGTTACCGTTCCTTGTAGCATTACGACCCCAACCGAGTACGGAATGGGTTAAATAACAAACCTGTTCTTTGAGTGCCACGGTGACTGCCATGGAATTTCATGGTCATGGAATACGGATAATGTTTACGGTTTCATTCGGCATTCACGCGTCTATATGTTCCCTTGGTTAACCCTACCTTTCTTTCATTTTGCTATCGGAAACGTTCACTTTTTTGGTTTTTCGCAGCCCCGTTTCGGAACTAAAACTCGACGGAAATCGGGGTCTGCCGCCGTGATTAGTGGTGACTCACATGACTCCGGTATCAGCTCACAGGAGGATCTGACCGTTTCTGTTTATTCTGCGAGCACTGGTTCCTCCCCAACGCACACTTCCGGTATGGCCCTATGCATGCCTAACAGGTTGACACGAGACCAATGTCTGATCGCTCAACTGGCGGCACAGCGTATGGTTAGTCAGGAGGCAGCGGCCGCTGCAAGTGGATTGCACCAACATACTTCCATGGGGGGAACCACAGGTCTTGGCGCAAGGTGAGTAGTTTCATTTGCTCCGTTCACGAGATTCCCTGTCACTGAACACTCGATCAGTCTGATTTGTCAGTGACAAACCATTCACAGGAACTATATAAAAACTACAGCAGTAAACGGTCAATGAAAAACAGATTTCGAAGAAATACGTGACCTTAGAGAAGTCCCAACTCACGTCAAATGAAGGGAATGATCTTCGAAGGCAGTGATAATGGATTCCTAGTTTACGAAAATGCATACAATAGGTGGCAGTATACCGTCCCTGAAATGCATGTGAAAATTTGCACGTGGAACAAGTGGATGGGTTTGCAAGGACTCTAGGCAGATCGGTATTTTTAGCTAAGGTCTTCATGGGAACTCATCGCCTGCATCCGGTGAATCCAACCACTTCCTTTAGATAGACTTTTAAGGAGCGCACCATCGGAGCATTGTTTTCTCAGGTTTCAGAGGAACCATATAGCCAATGAAGCAATATGCAATCGGTGGCAAAACTTAAAGTTATGTTCCGATGAACAGAAAGATGTGTGGGTGTGCACAAAAGTTAGCTCATTCGGCAGGATACGAATTCAACGCATATATATAAGCTAGGATGCTAGTAGAAAGGCTAGGGAGGTCATTAACAGGGATTCGTGGGCTTAATTGAAGTTTAATATATATGGAGACGTTCAGTTGAAGGGGAAGGGGGTAGAAAGAAGGAGACCGGTTTCGCAGTTCTGTGAAGTTACTTTGGAGCACAGAAAATGAATCTGGACAACCCAGTCTGACGTCGTCCGCACAATTGCAGCCGATTTCGTTATGGCATTTCTACAGGTCCTTGGTGCTCAAGGATAGGGAGTATATCTACGCAATGGCAGCCGAAAGAACACCTTACGGGTAGTGGCTTCTTTTCACTCCATGCTGTAAATCCAATGCGGTTTCATGATCATGGATCGAGTATCTATATTTTGGTCGCCGTTACAGTTGAAAAATGGAGTGAGGTCGGTCTGCTTTTAAGTTGCTCAAAAGCGAACTTCTGAACCTGGTTCCGCCTACATCATAGACAACATTTAGGACCGGAGGATTGGGCTGACGCAGTTCAGCAGGTCTTTCAGGTTGACTTCCCTCAAATGAGGGAACGCTGGTTAAAGAAGCTTCAAGCGCGCAAGCAGTATTTTGCTGCATCATTCGGTAGCAGCATTGCGTGAACCGATCTCCAGAAACCAGGAATACTGGGATAAGAGGACTGTCTTGTACATCTCCACAGTTTCATTTGTAGGGAACCTGGACCATGTTTCTTGTTTGGTTTGGCCTTGTAAAATGGCTTGCATGCCTAATCGGCTGTAAGGAGGGTGACCTGGGATGCTGAGGAAATCTGATGTGATGCTGAACCTGGATAAGTATACGGACAGAACTGCTAATTAGGTAGCGCGATATCTGTTGGAACTCCCCAGATAATTAGTTTAGGCTCCTCCATACTTGAGCCTTGTGTACATGCAGAGCTTTTTGAACCATGTGACTGCATCTTCTATTTCAATCAGATTGAAATTGCTGTCCTGCTCTCTTTTTGGTAAATAAAAATAATGATCTTTCAGCTGTAGTTTCCTTTCGGAGCCTAGCTGCCATGACACCCAAGGGGAGCATGAGGGCTGGGATACTGCCCGCTTGCCCAAGCCAAGACAGGGGAAGTCGAGGGGCAGAGGCTGGGTTCGAACCACGGATCTTCCGGCTACTAAATTTGCTCTCCAACCACTGAGCCATCACGCCCCCTTGTTTCTGGATGTGCACCTTTGGTGACGTGGATGCCACTGAATATGATGGGATGGTTGTGTTGAACCATCAAGCCTAGGCGTCTCTTCTTGATTGCATGCCTCTGCGGTTCATTTGTCAACGTTGTTGGATAGCCTTGAAAACATATAGATCAGTCTTTCCCAGTTTGTTGTATCCCCTTTTCTCCGACCGACTGCATCCCCCGATCTGCCGATGTAGTTTGTCTGACGCTCTGGGTGTTCTTTCACAACGGCAAGATCCCATATGTGTTGGCTAGTGACATGAAGGCACAGGTAGGTTGACTTCGCACTGCCAAGGCTCAGCTGGATGATTCTTGGTTAAACACGAGAATCGGACGACAAAGACCACCGGTTGGGGACGTGTGCCAATCACTAAGTGCTCTTTTGCTATGCGTATTTCCGGAACAGCGGAAGTTTTTGACCAGAAGCCAGCCTCGAACTCAAATCGACCACATTGTCATCGGTTACCGTTGATAAGGGTCTTCATTGCCTGTTTCTTCTGGACTGCTTGCATGGACTCGAATGACGCACTTGTCCGTTTCTGATTTTCATAGCGCTTTTCAGGTTTAATGAAACCCGCACTTACCGCTTAGCCATTGAAAACCTGATGGAGTGTGAAATCAAACAAGTGTCAGAAACTTTTTCCAACGTCTGTTTCATGATCCGATACCGAATACTAACAGCAAGTGGTACGGGATATTCAAGGCCGAACGTGATGCTGGAATGCAACACTGGGTGCGCTATCGCATTTTAGACACTGTCAAACCTACTTACTAATGCCACATTGACTCCAGAAGTGCCTAAGTTCAAGGAAAGTGAACCGGGCTTTTATAACTGTAACACTCACTTCGTCAGCGACGCTGCCGACTGACGTGATGCAGCTATCCAGATAGCTACATCTTTCCAATATTTCTATGGTTTCTGATGCCATAAACAGCTTTGGTGGTGCACTCGCCCATTCTTGCTACAGATGTGGACGGTACATCGACGAACTGGACGGAACCCTGTTTGGTTTTCATGAATTTTCTCCTCACAAGGGTCAGTAAGCCTGCGCAGGAGGATACCTGTGAGTCCTCCTCTGTCCTTGAAACAGATGGAAGATACTCGGGATCATTACAACACAAGCCTGAGCTACACTTCAAGGTGGCGGCTTTTGATCGGGAGATGCATCCAGTCTTGGGTGTTCTTGTGTGTCGTTGTTTAAAGTAGTACTGACTTCGTACTGTAATAGTCATGTGTTGATCCCTGGAGAAGAGTCGATAGTTTTATCACAGTTGTGCCTTCCATGTTGACAGATCTTATGTGAACGATGGCGCAAGACGCGATCTCTTGATGTTTTTGTCAAAATGGTCACCAGCGTTTAACCGATCTCATACAATTTGTTGCTGATCATTTGCACTTGCATATTTTCTTTTGATCCCCCGTAGAACAATAACGACGGAACTTGTGACGACTCTTCACGACGCGGGTCATACCAACCCCTCTGTTGGCCTCTCTCGTTTTACCGAGGTTCCGTTGCTGATCGAGTGAGTTTGTTCACCATGTTTCCATGTCTAGCGATTAACATCTGAACACTGCACGTAGCCGACTGAGATTCTACAAACGTCGGAATGGCGCACACACCTCTGAAGTTTGATCGAGTACAGTAGAACTTTTGCTGTAGTGACACGCTTGCTGGTTGCTGGAACCCGATACAAACATGTCTTCTAGAACTTCCGATTAGTCCCAGTTAACTGCTTCGTTTACCGCTTTTGTCTAGCTATTTTGCGGCATATTGAGAAGAGAGTTTTTAGTTAACTGAAATGTTAAAGATCGTAAAAAAACGTTTCATACGTCATTGGTAACCCTAATTTGACTAGTCCTGTTTTTCACCCACCACATCTCGGAAATCACTTCACACAGGAACTGAAGTTAGGTGAGGGACCAAAACCTCCTGGAATCAACCACGTACTCAGCGTTATTTGTGTCATCCCATTACGATGGACTAAAAGCTCAGATCTCATCGTGGTTGTCCACGATATGAATGCACAAGTGAGCAAACTCAGCGCATGTGAGACTCAACTCGACATGGGTTGGACTCCGTACGTACGGACATTGGCGAACGAATGTGTCAGCTATGTCAGTTAAACTGACTTTCCTCTCCTAAAATTTATCTATACTGCGTCTCCAGAATACGGATTTCATGTCTTACTGCGGTGACACATTTGAGCACTGCCGAAAGCGACACTCCGTGTACTCTCCGAGTGTCAGTTGCTACAAAAGCCCCGCTGTTTCCATGGTGCGGGCATTGCTTTAAGTCCAGGAGTTGATGAAGCTCCGTTTTACTTGATCTCTATAACTAGCCGGTTGTGTGCAGTCAGAATAAACTGTGTGTCAGAACCTGCAACCAACGACCAAAAAGCCGAAGTCTGCATTGTCTCTGTATACGACCCAACAAACGGCAACAGTGTTTCTACCAAGAAAAGTTTTTTACAGTTCACTTCTGAAACTTGTGGACTGCAAGTATATGAATATCACCATTGTAGCTCGCTGTCTGAACGCTCAGGTGAGAAGAATCAACAAGCATGAGTGTCATCTCGGCAGAAGGTTTGGTGTAGATGCCCGAACGGACAACAGTGGCCGTCTCCTACAACTGTCGGCCGATCGTCAGCCGTTTATTAATTGATGATTATATTTATCGCAAATGTAAACATTTAGTGCAACCGTGAGCGTCGCGTTACATGACGCCCACCCAAATGCAATCAATCAGGTCCTCAGGTTGACCGCGTAGCTATGACTTGTAAGTGGCAAGTTTGTGTTCAAGATAATAAAAATAATAATAATCGCTCAGCTGTGACACCTTTCCGTTGCCTAGCCGCCCTAGCCCCCCCCCCCGAAAGAAAACACAAGAGCAGAGATGTTGTCAGGTCACCCGAGATGCCTATGTTGGGTTCGAACCACGGACCGCCTAGTCAGTATGTTCACTCGTGTACGCAGTCACATAGCGACCTGCTCGTGTCTGTATTGGTACTCAATTCCTATCGATCACGGAGAAGACGGTTCATCAGTGTGCTATTCACTACTAGCCGTCTCACAACAGGGAGGAAGTGAGTAGAGAACATACAACGAATAAAATAGGTGTCTGTCATCGGAAATACTCCATCTTTCCCAACCTGTCCGTAACTGGGTCGAGAAAGTCGCCTGTCAAAGGACTGCTCAGTGGTCCATTCCAAGTCCCATTGCCTACTTCAGTGGACAGAGCACTTCGAAGAGCAACAGTGACCAACACATCACCAGCCTCACAATGCGTTGTGAACCGCTCAGTTTCAGCACAATAAACCACCCAGTCCTG